GACTACAAAACTTTGTAACATTAATATCATTACAGAATAATCTGGCCCATTCATGGAGACCATCGGATCAGATTCTGCATTGGCCCAGCAGGTTGCTTTTAATGCAAGAACTATGCAGACCCAGGCACAGACCATTCAAGTGCTGCAGGATCAGGTAGCTGAACTGCAAAATGAAGTTCGATCAATGCATAGTGAGCTTACCAGCTACAGGGCACATGATGTTGCGGCTGCTGCTACTACTACTGTTACACCTGCACAAGATGCCCGCTTGCCTCTACCAGAAAAATTTGGAGGAGACCGCAAAAAATTCAGGGGTTTCCTAAATCAATGCCGTTTGCATTTCATGATGTTACCTAACCGTTTTCCATCTGAAAGAGAGAAGGTGGGATTTATTTTTTCCCTCTTCAAAGATGAAGCCCTGGCCTGGGGCTCCCCTTTTCTGGAACAGGACAGTCCAGTCTTGGGAAATTTAAAAGACTTTCTTGAGGCCATGTGCCTAGTTTTTGATGATCCCAATCGCTGTGCTACAGCAGAAGCCACTCTCCTTCATTTACATCAAGGGAGGCGCTCTGTGGCTGAATATGCTGCTGAATTCAGACAGTGGGTTACTGATACGACTTGGAACCAATCAGCCCAGAGGTTCCACTTTAGAAGGGGTCTCTCAGAAGCTATAAAAGATGAGCTAGCTCGTGTTGATCTTCCTGTTGAGTTTGATGCATTTGTGCGGTTGGCTATCCGTATTGATCGGAGACTTTCAGAAAGAAGATTGGAAAGACAGGGCTCTTTTAAACCAAGTGCTACTCCTACTTTCTATTCAAGAATTTCTACTCCGACCCCACAAACACCTACAGACTCTGAACCTGAGGCTATGCAGGTAGATCTAATAAGAGGGCCATTATCCAATGAAGAAAAACAGTGGCGACGCACTCACAACTTATGCCTGTATTGTGGTAGTGCAGGGCATTATGCCATCAATTGCCCTAACAAGTCTAAAAGAACAATAGCTATGACTGCTGAGGGTGCACAGATTCAACACCAATCCCAGATTTCAGACCAACTGGATTCTGTCACACAACCCTTGTTTTCTCTGGCTCAGGGTGAAGAAGGTATGATGACTCAACATCCTCATTTGGTGGTGCCTATCACTTTGCAATATGGTGATAATAAAATTTCAACTACAGCTATGATAGATTCCGGAGCAGGCGGAAACTTTATGGACATTAAATTTGCAGCAGGAAATAAAATTCAGTCTATCCCTAAATCTTCACCTGTGTTAATGGAAACAGTAGACGGTTCTCCACTTACGTCAGGCCCGGTTACACATGAGACTGTGCCCTTAAAATTGATTCTGGAAGTGAATCACCATGAGTCTATATCTTTCCACCTAATTTCCTCAACACAGTTTCCAGTGATTTTGGGTATACCCTGGCTTGCTCTGCATAACCCACAGATTGATTGGAAGACTAGAACTTTGTCCTTTCCTTCAGAACACTGCTTAATGAATTGTCAACCCTCTAAGGCGACACCTGTTACCACAACAATTAATGAAATGGTTGCTACAAACTTAACTAAGCTTCAGCTACAATATCGGGATTTTGCAGATGTCTGTGATAAGAAGAATGCTGATCAGCTTCCACCTCACAGGTCTTATGATTGCCCCATAGAGCTGCTACCTGGAGCTGCTATCCCATTTGGCCGTATATACTCCCTTTCTGAGCCTGAATTGAAAGCACTTTGTGAATACATACAAGAAAATCTTGCCAAAGGCTTTATTCGACCATCCACTTCTCCAGCAGGAGCTCCTATATTCTTTGTAGAAAAGAAAGATGGCAGTCTACGACCATGTGTTGATTACAGGGACATTAATAAAATCACTGTTAAAAACCGTTATCCCTTGCCTCTCATTCCTGAACTTCTGGAGAGACTTCGTTCAGCTAAAATATTTACGAAGCTTGATCTACGGGGGGCATATAATCTGGTTAGCATAAGACCAAATGATGAATGGAAAACAGCTTTCAGAACCAGGTACGGACATTACGAATATCTAGTAATGCCATTTGGGCTTTGTAATGCCCCTGCAACTTTTCAGCATCTAATCAATGATGTACTACGGGATCTCCTGGATCAGTTTGTTGTGGCATATTTGGATGATATCCTGATATTTTCTGATAATCTTGAAAATCACAGAAAACAGGTCTGCATTGTTCTTGAGCGCCTTCGTACCCACCACCTATACATTAAACTGGAAAAATGTGATTTTGAACAAACAGAAATTCAGTTCCTGGGGTATGTAATAACTCCTAAAGGTTTAAGTATGGACGCAAGTAAAATTAAAGCTGTGCTGGACTGGCCCATCCCCAAGAATGAAAAAGATATACAGAGATTTGTGGGGTTTGCCAATTTTTACAGGCGTTTCATTAAGAATTTCTCTGCCGTTATTACACCGATCACTGAACTTACACGTAAAGGGACTCCTTTTCAGTGGTCCAATAAGGCTGACACTGCATTTTCCAGATTAAAGACTCTGTTTACATCTCCCCCTATCTTGGTACATCCTCAGCCAGAATTGCCATTTACTGTAGAGGTAGATGCTTCTGATTCAGCTGTTGGGGCTATACTGTCTCAAAGGACTGGACCTAAGATGTTGTTACATCCATGTGCCTTCTATTCCCGCCAGATGTTACCAGCAGAAGGAAATTATGACATAGGGAATAAAGAACTTTTGGCTATAAAAGCTGCCTTCACCGAATGGAGACATCTCTTGGAGGGAGCCACCCATCCAATTACTGTCCTCACAGATCACAAAAATCTGGAATGTATCCAATCCGCTAAGACACTGTCAGCCAGACAAGCACGCTGGTCCCTATTTTGCTCAAGGTTTAATTTTTTTTATTTCATACCGCCCTGGTTCCAGAAATGGCAAGGCGGATGCCTTGTCTAGGATAGTTGACCCCCTCCATACTACAGTAACCAAGGCCACCATCTTGCCGGAGAGCAGATTTTTAGGAGTTACCTTTCCTTCTGATCTAATGTCTCGCGTTAAAAAGGGCTACTCTAAAGATCCAGTTTTTCGTGATCCTCCTCGTGATCTTCATATGACCATGCTTAATGGGTTTTGGATTTTTCAACAACGTCTGTTTGTTCCAGAATCAGTGCGACTGGACGTTTTACGCCTCTACCATGACTCTAAACCGGCAGGTCATCCAGGAATCCGAAAGACACAAGAACTACTTACCCGATCCTTTTGGTGGCCTAAATATTATGAGGATGTTAAGAAGTATGTGTCCTCTTGTGATGTATGTGCCAGATATAAGACTCCTCGCTCATCCCCTGTTGGCTTGCTTCAGCCTCTTCCGATTCCTCATCGTCCCTGGGGATCTATATCCATGGACTTTATTGTGGAACTACCTCCCTCTAAGGAACACACTACCATTCTTGTTGTTGTGGACCGGTTAACCAAGATGAGTCATTTCATACCAGCTCGTGGTCTCCCTTCAGCTAAACAGACTGCTGACCTTGTTATTCGGGAAATATTTCGCTTGCATGGAGTGCCTGATGAAGTAATTTCTGACAGGGGAGTGCAGTTTACATCTCATTTTTGGAAATATTTTTGTTCTATTCTAGGTATTAATGTAAATCTGTCTTCAGCTTTTCATCCACAAAGTAATGGACAGACTGAGCGAACCAACCAGACTTTAGAACAATATTTGCGGTGCTATATTAGTTACCTGCAGGATGACTGGCTGGATTTTCTACCCACGGCGGAGTTTGCCTATAACAATGCCCAACACTGCTCCACTTCTCTGAGCCCATTTTTTGCCAATTATGGTTACCATCCAACCTTTCTAGTGAGTCTCCCAATTACTACTCCCATTCCTGCAGTCACTGACCGGCTAACCGCCTTACGAGATTCCCAAGAACTGTTGAAGGAGACTCTTTCGGAGGCTCAGGTATGTTACAAAAGAGCTGCTGATAGGCACAGAAAGGAGGCCCCAGTTTATCATGTTGGTGACAAGGTTTGGCTGTCAACAAAGAATCTTAAGCTTAGGATTCCTTCTCATAAATTGGGTCAAAAGTTCATGGGACCTTTTAAGATAATCGCTCAGATCAATGCAGTCACCTTCCGTCTGCAACTTCCGGATTCCATGAAAATACATCCGGTGTTTCACGTGGCACTGCTTAAACCTTTTCATGAAAATACTTTCCCTGGTCGAGCCTTGCCTGCCCCACCACCAGTCCTCGTGGATGGTGAAGATGAATACGAGGTGGAAAAAATTCTTGACTCCAGGATCTTCCGCAACAAGCTTCAATATTTGGTTCATTGGAAAGGCTATGGTGAGGAGGATAGATTGTGGGAACCAGTGGACAATATTCATGCTCCTGATCTTCTTCAGTCTTTCCATGCACAGTACCCTGCTAAACCAGGAAATAGGGCATCCAGAGGCTGCGCCTGTAGAGGTGGAGGTAATGTGAGGAACTGACTCTGCTGGGTTTCGAACCCTGGTTTACATGGTGCTAAACCTCTTCCTTACCAGTACACCAGCCTGCCTTTTGCAAATTTACCTGAGATCTGATACCATTGCTTGTAGAGTCAAGGTTATCAGTGACAACTCTCTTCAGCTGTGTCTGGTCAGGTGTCTGGTTCTTGGCCTATAAAAGCCACTTCCTGTCTCTGTACCTTTGCCAGATTATTGTGGTTCCTGTACTCTCTAATCAAGCGTGTTCCTGTTTCTCCTTCCTGCTGAATTTGGACTGTTTTGACTTTGCTGCTTCTCCTTCCCACTGACCTCGGCTTGCCTCACTACGATTATCATCTTTCTGTTCCAGTCTCCCATCTCTGCTTAAGACCAGAAGGCCACTCAAGGCTCAGGTGCTCAACCACCTGGGTAACGAGTGGCTACCTCTGGCAGAAAACATTGCTGATCTGGCTACTGGACTCCAAAACTTTGTAACATTAATATCATTACACCGGGGGGTGGTTCACCAAGTGACCCCCTGCCGGTCTGTCTCGTGAATCTGAATCTCACATAATGAGTGGAGTTGTGTCTGTGGGGTCCCCCGGAGTATGCTGTGTTTTACATTTGGGTCCATATGGGTTCATTTGTTGGTATACCAGGCAAAGGGAGGTATCCCTGTGTGTTGTTCCAGTCCCCTTAGTTTGTGAGCCGCTTTTAGACCTTGGTTGATCCTTTCCAAAAGTTTGTTAGCGCAGTGTCAGGGTTTCTTTGCCGTTTTAAACAGCCACCCTTCCTTTTTCAGTGTCTGAGGTTACAGCTGTAATTAACGATCAGCTCCTTCAGTATGTTGCCACGGTTACTCACCTGAGAATAGTAATCAACCCTGCTGCTAATCAGTTCAGCCTATTTAAGCAGCAAATCCCAGAACCTCCTTATCCTTGCCTGGTTTCCTGTTCCCCAGAAGTCTCCTTGTTCCTGTGTTTCCTGTTTGCTCCTGGTTCCTGACTCTGGCCTTGTTCCTGACTCCGCTGATCTCCGTTCTCCTGATCCTGGTTTGTCTGACTACCCGCTCTGGTGACTGACCCCTGCTTGCCTCCTGGACCTTGCTTTTGGTTAATTCTTTGTTATTTATTAATAAAGGTGTTTTTGCATCTAGTTCTGTCTCTGTCTTGTTCCTGGTCCCTGACATTACGCAAGGGCCATGAATACAGATGGTACAGGCAATACACCTATACCTAACCTATTTACCCGGTGGGACCAGCAGAACCACCATTTGGACCAGTATGCCCATCTGGATCCAGCACCCGGCCAGCCTGCGATTGCAGCCCCCTCTGCCTCACTTCCTGTTCTAGCACCGGTTGTAGCCTCCAAACCTGTTGCGGCTAGAGGAATGACTGGGTCTGTCCCACTCCCTCAGTATTTTGGGGGCAACCCAGCTCAGTGCAAAGAATTTATAAATCAGGTTAAAGGATACCTTGAAATGCTGCCCCAGGCATTTCCTACAGACAGCAACAAAGTCCAGTTCATGATTTCTTTGCTGTCTGAAAAAGCCCTAGCTTGGGCAAAACCTCTCTGGGAGACAGAGAGGCCCATCATTTACTATTACCCTGAATTTGTTGCGTCCTTTAACCCCTTAAGGACCAAACTTCTGGAATAAAAGGGAATCATGACATGTCACACATGTCATGTGTCCTTAAGGGGTTAAAAGGGTTTTTGATATTCCAGCTCGCTCCACCCCTACTGCCAAACAACTCATGTCTAATGCTCAGGGCACGAAAACTATTGTCGAGTATGCCAGTGAATTCCGTACCATGGCAGCAGAGGGTGGCTGGAACAACGAGATTCTCGTGGCTGCCTTTGTACAAGGGCTCTCCGATGTTATTAAAATGAGATTGCACCTAAAGATCTGAGGAACTGATATCATTTGTCATTCTCATTGACATCAGACTCCGAGAGAGATCCTCATCCAGGGAGCGCCTGCGGAGGATTCCTGTATGTTTGGCACAGAGCTTTTCCTGCCCACCCAAACCTCCCTCAACTCCCATGCCTCCTGGTCCTGAGTCCTCTGTCGGTGTGGACAGGGCTGCCATCAGAAATTTTGGGGCCCCTGACACAGCTCAAGGTCTGGGCCCCCCGGTGCCTGCATCCGAGTCCGCCCAAAGTGCTGCCCCCGAGTCCGCCCACAGGAATGCAGTGTCTGCAGGGGCCGGTGCAAGGATTTTTGCCGCCCTAGGCAAAAGTAAAGTTGCCCCCCATGTGACATCACAATGCCCCACCCATATGATCTGCCATGTTAACTAACACCAGTGCTGCAGTGCCGCCGTGTTTACATTAAAAAGCCTGCAGGGGTTAAGCTGTAGTGGTTCTGGGGACTATAGTGTCCCTTTAATGTGAGGTAAATTAGAGATTAGTGCCACAAATAATATACTAGATTGCCTACTTACAACCAGATGAGGATAATGATGAGCTCTAGCAGTCTGGCTCCACTGGTCTGGTGTAGAACAGGCTCTCTGGAGGCGTTTTGTAACTGTGGTCACAAAAATCAATGTTCTGGGATCAACGGGAAGCAGCTCCATTTTTTTGAGGGCCCTTTACAATTTCCTTCCTCCGCGCCCCCCACCCACACCCGGCGGGCCGGCGTGCGAGGGAGCACTCTCCTCTGCTGCTTCCTCTTGCGCGCGCCGCGTACTGATGCCGGAGCCGGAAGATGACGTCATCTTCCGGCATCAGTACGCGGTGCGCGAGGGAGCTGAAGAGGAAGCAGCAGAGGAGAGTGCTCCCTCGCGCGCCCGCCGGGTATCAGCAGGGCCAGCCTCTGGGGGGCCCTGAGGTGATCGGTTGCTGGGCCCCCCAGGAGAAGAGGCTGCCCTGTGGGTACATACCGGGGTCGCAGGGCCCCCTGCGACCCCGGTATGTACCCACTGAATGTGGGGTCCGGACGACCTGAGCAGTCCGGGCCCCCCAGGACCGCAGGGCCCATGACAACCGTTGCGGTTGTCATGCCCTGATGGCGGCCCTGGGTGTGGAGCCGAGGCGGTTAGGCTTCTCATGCCTCTCTGTCGAGGAGAGAGCCTTTAGGAGGAGGGAGGGCCTGTGCCTATACTGCGGACACCACAGTCACATATTAAAGTTTTGCCCGATTCGTCCGGTAAAGGGCCCGCACCCAAGATACTGTCAGGAGCAGATCTTAGGTGGTCTTTCTGCAGACCCAGAGATAAATGAGGACAAACCCCTGGTGCCTATTTTCCTCTCCTGGCCTGATTCATCCATTAAAACCTGGGCATTGCTTGATTCTGGGGCCGCAGGCTTGTTTATAGATTGTGCATTTGCATCAGAGCACTCTATACCCTTACAGCCTTGCAAATCTCCACTAGCTTTCAAAGCCATCGATGGCAGACCTATACAGCCAACCCACGTGACCCAGGAAACCGTGCCCATATCTCTGGCTGTAGGGGCTCTACATCATGAGATGATCCAATTCCAGGTCATTTCCTCTCCATATTACCAGGTTGTTTTGGGATACCCTTGGCTACAGAAGCATAACCCCACAATTGATTGGCGCAAATCTGAGATATTATCTTGATCCCAGCAATGCACATTTTCCTGTCTCCGGAAACCGGTCAAAGTTTTGGGCACAGTTTCTGCCTCTTCCTTACCCGCTGAGTACCAAGAATTCCAAGATGTATTTGACAAAGGTCAAGCTAGTGTTCTGCCGCCACACCGTCCGTATGACTGTGGTATCGAACTCCAACCTGGTGCCACTCCTCCCCGTGGCCGGATTTACCTGCTGTCTGTAGCAGAGAATCGAGCCATGGAGGAGTATGTTACCGATGCGTTGTCAAAGGGATTCATTCGGAAGTCATCTTCTCCTGCCAAGGCCTGCTTTTTCTTTGTGAAAAAGAAGAGTGGTGAGTTGAGACCCTATATCGACTATAGGGGTCTCAATCGCATTACTATTTAGAATGCCTACCCCATTCCGTTGATCACAGAGTTATTTGACCGCCTCAAGGGAGCAACGGTCTTCACTAAACTTGATCTGAGAGGAGCATATAATCTTGTCCGGATAAAAGAGGGCCACGAATGGAAAACCGCATTTAACACCAGGAGTGGGCATTACGAATACCTAGTAATGCCCTTTGGTCTTTGCAATGCTCCGGCGGTTTTCCAGGAATTTATAAATGACGTCCTGCGAGATATGCTGCAGCAATGTGTGGTGGTTTATCTTGACGATATTCTTATCCATTCCACATCTCTCGAGAACCACCACACAGACGTTTCTAGTGTTCTACAGAGACTTAGAGAAAATAATCTGTTCTGTAAATTGGAGAAATGTGAGTTCAATTGCAAACAGGTCACATTCTTGGGCTATGTTATCTCAGATGCTGGATTCTCTATGGATCCAGAGAAGCTTTCCGCTGTACTAAAATGGCCTCGACCTACGGGTCTTCGCTCTATACAGCGTTTTCTTGGCTTCGCCAATTATTATCAGAAAGTTCATACGCAACTTTTCTTCCTTGGTTAAACCACTCACGGATATGACCAGGAGAGATGCTGATCCACAGCATTGGTCACAGGAAGCCATTACCGCCTTTGAGTCTCTCAAAGTCGCCTTTGCTGCTGCTCCTATACTGGCACACCCTAACCTTGCCTTACCATTCATTATTGAAGTCGATGCGTCTGAGACAGGAGTAGGCGCCCTCCTGTCTCAACGTCCTAACCCAGAGAGCTCCCGGCATCCGTGCGGGTATTTCTCGAAGAAATTGAACCCGGCGGAATGCAATTACCAGATTGGTGATAGAGAACTTCTAGCCATAATTCTAGCTCTCAAAGAATGGAGGCACCTTCTTGAGGGTACTTCAGTGCCAATTCTCATCCTCACAGACCACAAGAATCTTACATATCTTTCCGAAGCTAAGCGGCTTTCCCCCCGGCAAGCTAGATGGGCTCTCTTCCTATCAAGATTCAATTATGTGGTTTCTTACTTGCCCGGTACTAAAAACATTCGGGCTGATGCCTTGTCTCGACAGTTCTCCCCTCCATCTAGAGAGGAGATAACCCCTACTCCTGTGATTCAACCGGACCATATACTGGCCACCATCCGTACTAACCTCACTTCACACCTAGGTGAGGAGATTCTGGCTGCACAAAGTAATGCTCTTCCAGAGAAACCTAATGGCCGTTGTTTCGTACCTACTCATCTCTGTACTAAATTATTAAGTACATATCACAACCCCAAAGCAGCTGGACATCCAGGCAAAAACCAGTTAATCTGGTCCATCTCTCTGCAATTTTGGTGGCCTAGTCTCCATTTGGATGTCACCGCTTTTGTAGCTGCCTGTCCTGTATGCGCTCAAAATAAAACCCCACGACACCCTCCAGTGGGTCTCCTACAAACCATACCTAATGGTGAACGACCCTGGACTCACTTGTCCATGGATTTTATCGTAGATCTTCTGGTCTCCCGTGGCAATACAGTCATTCTTATGGTTGTTGACCGATTCTCAAAGATGTCACATTGCATTCCCTTGAAAAAACTACCAACTTCTTAGGAATTTGCAACAATTTTTGCTCGGGAGGTCTTTCGTTTGCATGGGTTACCCAAAGTGATAATCTCAGATAGGGGTAGCCAGTTCGTGTCCAGATTTTGGAGAGCTTTTTGTACACAAATGGGAATTCAGCTTTCCTTCTCCTCGACCTACCACCCGCAATCCAATGGTGCCTCGGAACGAGCTAACCAAACACTGGAACAGTTTCTGCATTGCTACATTTCTG